CAACTGGAGATCCTGTACCGTTGGTACATGCAGGACTCCAACCCAACGCGCAAGATGCTTGACTGCATCTCAGAAGAGGTGGGGCTCAAAAAGCGAGTGGTACAGGTCTGGTTCCAGAATACCAGGGCCCGGGAGAGAAAAGGCCAGTTTCGAAGCACCCCTGGGGGGGTGCCCAGTCCAGCAGTCAAACCCCCTGTCACACCCACTCTGGCACCCTTCCCCAAGTTCAATCTCTTGTTGGGCAAGGTAGAAGATGGGGTTGGGAGGGAGGCCCCAAAGAGGGAAGTACCTGCTTTTCCCTACCCCCCAGTCACCTCTGCTGCTGGGCCCCTGCCTTTCCTACCACTCAGGAAAGAGGCCACCACCCCAACACCAGAGCCACCTCTACCTCTCCCACCTCCCCCTCTGCCCAGTGAAGATGAGGGCCCAGAGGAACCGTCTAAAGCTTCTCCAGAGAGTGAGGCTTGCAGTCCATCTGCAGGGGATCTAAGTGATTCATCTGCTTCCAGCCTGGCTGAACCAGAGTCTCCTGGGGCTGGAGGGACCAGTGGGGGAGCAGGAAGTGGGACTGGGGTTCCAGATAGAATGGGGCAGCGGCGCTATAGGACCCAGATGAGCAGCCTGCAGTTGAAGATCATGAAGGCCTGCTACGAAGCCTACCGCACCCCCACCATGCAGGAGTGCGAGGTGTTAGGGGAGGAGATTGGGCTGCCCAAGAGAGTCATCCAGGTCTGGTTCCAGAATGCTCGTGCCAAGGAAAAGAAGGCCAAACTGCAGGGGGCAGCAGTTGGGGGCCCTGGGGGCAGCAATGAGGGTCCCTTGGGAGCCCAGCGCACCGACTGCCCCTATTGTGATGTCAAATATGATTTCTATGTCTCCTGCCGAGGCCATCTCTTTTCCCGCCAGCACCTGGCCAAGCTTAAGGAAGCAGTCCGAGCACAGCTGAAGAGTGAAAGCAAGTGCTACGACTTGGCCCCAGCACCCGAGGCACCCCCAGCAACCAAGGCCCCACCAACCACCATACCTGCTTCCTTGCCCCTTGGGCCTACCCCAACCCTGCCTCACCTGGCCCCTGTCCTCTTGTCTGGCCCAGCACTGACCCCGTCCCCCTTGGGCGGCTTAGCTCCCTTCAATTCAGGTGAGTTGGAGGTTGGGAGGAGTTGGACTTCAGAGATATGCCCTTCCTTTTCTTTCTTGACTCTGTCTCCATCTGCAATCTCCTCCAGTGGCTTTCCTTTGCTGCAGGCTCTTGGGGGACAGAGGTAGTGGGAAGGGGGATGGAAGCCAGGTGGGGGGAATGGGTGAGTGTATATCTGGAGGTGGCTAATGCTTCATCTCACGTCTTTTCATCTTCATAGGCCCTGCAGCCTCCTCAGGCCTCCTTGGCCTCGCCACTTCGGTCCTGCCTACTACCACAGTGGTCCAGACTGCTGGCCCAGGCTGCCCCTTACCTCAAAGACCCATGCCCGACCAAACCAACACCTCCACAGCAGGCACCACTGACCCTGTCCCAGGCTTGCCCACTGAGCCCTTAGGGGACAAGGTCTCTGGTGAGCGAAAGCCAGTCACAGCCCCCACCAACTCCTCCACTGACGGCCTCAAGAACCTCAAAGCATTGAAGGCAACTGTCCCAGCTCTGTTGGGGGGCCAGTTCCTGCCCTTCCCACTGCCTCCTGCAGGGGGAGCAGGACCACCAGCTGTCTTTGGCTCCCAGTTACAGGGAGCTTACTTTCAACAGCTCTATGGCATAAAGAAGGGGCTATTTCCCGTGAACCCTGTGATACCTCAGACCCTCGTTGGGCTACTACCCAATGTCCTCCTCCAGCCACCACACCAGGCCCCCAAGCCCACAGCCAGAGCGCCTTCAAAGCCACCTGAACTGCCCACTCCAGGGGAGGGGGAGACTGGTGAGGCTGATGAGCTGCTGACAAGCAGCACTGGCATCTCTACTGTGGACGTGACCCATCGCTACCTGTGCCGCCAGTGCAAGATGGCATTTGATGGGGAGGCCCCAGCCACTGCTCACCAGAGAGCCTTCTGCTTCTTTGGGCGGGGCCCCGGGGGTTCCATGCCCCCTCCATTGCGGGTGCCCATCTGCACCTACCACTGCCTGGCATGTGAGGTGCTGCTGAGTGGGCGTGAAGCCCTGGCCTCCCACCTGTGCTCCTCGGCCCACAGGCGCAAGGCTGCCCCACCCCCAGGGGGCCCACCCATCACCATCACCAACGCCGCCACTGCTGCCACAGCTGCTGTGGCTTTTGCCAAAGAGGAAGCAAGATTACCTCACACGGACTCCAACCCAAAAACTACTACTACCTCTACACTTCTAGCTTTATAAACAGATAAACCAAGATGGGGGCAGAGGGGAGGGCCTCAGGGCTCCCTCTCTTAACCCAAGGGGTGTTTGGTGGGAGCTCAAATCCCTCACCCCAACCCTCGGCTCTGCCCACCTCACGGGAATCTTTCAGTTCCCACCCTCAGTGGGCTTCACACACCCCACCTCCAGCAAAGTCCTTCCTCCTCCCCCTACGCTAATTCTCAACTTGCAGGTAGATGTACCCCTTCCCCCTATGTCTTCAGAGACACACACCCCCATCTTGTCATCCCAGTTGTTCATACACGTCTGCCCTGCCTACCCCACCACATATCATTGGTTCCATCTTCCTGCAGCATTTCTCCACTGAATTCCCAGCACTACCACATCTCCTATAAACACGCACATGCATATACATGCTAGTCCATATTGTTCTACTGAGAAACACCAAAAAACGAAGAAAGGAAAAAGAAAACCCAAGGCAAAGAAGGGGGAAGGAAAAGAAACCTTGCCACTCCCCCTTCCCCTCCCTTCCCCTCCCTTCCCCCTTGTCTCGAGCGCCATACTGCTCACAAACTCTTTCCAAATACCCAGTTGGCTCCCAAAATTGGAGCCCAGGATTGACAGGGAGCCCACAAAACTCTAACCAAACTGGAGGGTTGGCAGGGAGAGAAGTGCTCCCAGTGCACTCTCCCCGCCCCCTCCCTCCTAGCCCTCTCCTGCCTGGGAGCCCCTGCAGCCTGGACTCTAGGGGAAGCCACCGCCACCAGGAACCCCTCTGCCAACCCCTACCCTGCACCCTGGGAACTGCAGTAACTTATTCTCAAAGGCTTTAAACACAGAGATCCTCTCAGCAGCCGTGGACCCGCCTCTTGTCCCAGCCCTGCCAAGTGGGGGTTCAGCTTCCGGGACTGGCGCTGCCCACCAATGGCAAATCCAAAGTTCTTAAAAAAAAAAAACAAAACTGAAACACACATGCAACCAAAAAAGCGAGAGCAAGAGAGCGCACCCATGTGCACGAAAGAGTGAGATGGAGAGGCTAGAGAAATGAACTAAAGAAAACAAACTTGGAAAAATACAGAAAAAAAAACTCCCATCAAACAAGTGGTTTTTTTCCTGTCTGTGTCACCTCCCCCGCCCCCCCCCCCCATTTTAAGGGTTTTTTTAAGCCACCTCATCTTTGGAAGATCAAATGGCTTTAACTCCTTGCCATGGGTCTGGTGATCCTCTTGGGACTGAAGCAATGCAGCCCTCCCCCTGGCCAGGCCCAGTCTCAGAGGCAGGAGCTGGTAATGGAGAGAAGAGCATGGAGACTGGGGAGAGACCCGTCCATGCCCCCTGAGTTGAATATTTAACAGGACGGGTAACATTCCCTCATTCCCAGCTGTGAATTAAAGTATCACCAAAAGTATCTTGGCAGTCCCAGGAGGAAAGGGTGGATGGGGTAGTTTAGTTTTTGAATCCTGGGTATGCTTTCTTTTGCCTACCATCATTTCCTCTTGTTTACTTCTTTCACAGCCCCCTACTCCTATTTCCCTTGCTAGTGGCCCCTTCACATTTCTGCCATATCTTGAACCTTCTTTGTCCATGGTAGGTCCTGTGTTCCCCATCTGCTTTTCTTCCCGCTCATCCTCTGCCCTTGCTCTTGCTCCATATATCCCACCCTATCACAACCCAGCTCATCCTTTAAACAGCAGCTGCTGGAGGCATCCCCAAAGGAGTCAAGGCCTGTCCGTTAGGCTCATAGGGGTCCAGAGTTGATGTTAGTTGAGGGAATGGGTGGGCAAGGAGATAATTTAAGCACAAAATGAAATCTGGGATAGGGTGATATCACCAGGGAAACCAACATAAGAGGAATTAACCTAAGAGAGGGTTCCCCACCCAATCTATCTGTTTCTGTAACCATCAAGTGGTAATTTTGGCAACCCCAAAGCCCAGCTAAAGTGGCATAGGGTGAAGAAGCAGGTATTTTATTTTAGCAAAGAAAAGACTGCAAAAATGTCCCATGTCCTTCAGATTATTTCTCCTACTACTCTTATCCCTAAGACATCCCCATCCAAGGCATTCCCCTTCCATCTTTTCTCCCCTTCAGGCTTCTTCTGCTACTGTTATCCATTTAATACTCACAACTTAAGCCAGCCCTGGGATTTAGGTTTTCTGGTTTCAGTCACTCCGCTCTGTGAACAGGTTAATACTGAAGCAGTGGCTTATGTGCAGAAGAGATGGTAGGGGAGACACGGAGGGTGGGAGGTGGGGGTTGGGATTTGGCTCAGTCCCTAGTTGTCATATATTTTGTGACTCATTTCCAGTCCCATTCACTACTAAAAATTAAAAACTCCAACTCCAGCAAATTGGGGGTGGGGTGGAATTAGTTATTCTGATGATGCCAAAAATGCCAGTTACAAATGTTGGCAATAAGAGAGAAATTGACCTGCTGTGGTCTTGCTCTTGCTGCCATCTTTCCCTGCCTGTCAACCTCTTTCTTGCTCCCCTCCTTCCCTATCCCTTTCTCTCTCCCATTGGAATTCTGTGTATAAAACTATTTTCTTAGCAGCATGTATATGAAGAAAGAGGCTTTTTCACTCTGTTTGCTGGGAATGTGACTTTGTAAAAGGTTGAAACAAAATTAGAACAACACAGAGAAGAGAAAACGTTTTAAAGAAAACCTTGGCAAACATTGGCATGGGATGATTATTTTAGGGATTTACAGCCAAGGTAAGTTGGCTTTAGTTTGAACTATGCTTCTTTTTACCAAGGGTTAATGTAGCCAGAAATCCTTCCTCCTGCCCTCTAGCACAGTTTCTGTCTTACACCCAAATGCCCTGGCTTGGAGACGCCATATACATTCACAATAGTAGATAGGAACTGACTCTAAACAACTGTACTTACCTGGTACCCTGTAATTTGGGGGCAAAAGAAAGCTTGACTGACTCTGCTGATTTAGATAAATTGGCATGCTTCTTGAGGGTGCGTCATCCCATGTTCTCAGTGGCTGGAAGCATTCCTTCCCAACCCCTTTCTCAGGCTGGAAGTCCTCAGCAGCAGTGCTCTGACTCCAGAGATAGATGCATTGTGGGCCTTTTTGGTAGGCAGAAGGCTGGGTTAGCACAATGCAGAATGCCAAGTCACCAGGATTAAATCGTGTTGCTTCTCCTGTAGAGTAGTAATAAACCCAATTCAAGAGTTTGGCACATCAACAACTTATAGCACCTTCCATAACCCTAAAGTGAGCCTAAATTGCCTCATAAGATTGATCTTTTACCGCTTGGGGCGAAGTCCTAGGGTTTCTGACATATGTGGGTCCTAAAGAAGCATCCAAATTCTGGTCCTCCCTACTTACAGTCAGGGTCAGTATAGGGTGGCAGAGAGTAGAAATGACCTTGGCTGTCCTAGCTGTAAACCAGAGTCAGTGTAAGGATGGCTTGGGGTACGCAATCCTCAGCTAGGAGCAAAAATTAAAGTCTGCTGGAAAAACAAGAGAAAATCTGAAGCTTTTGTGGTCACATTAGACAGTGTCTGCAACAGGACCAGAAAAGAAACCTGTTCTTCCCCCGTGCCTCTAGTCCCTGCAGTGTGTACACTACTGACAGAAGTATGTACAAGAACCAAAAAAAAAACAGCTATTTCAGATATAAGGGCACCCACCTACTTAATTCCTTCTATTTGTTCCTTACCCACTTTTAAGACTTATGGATCTGACCACAGATTCCCCAAAATCTCCACCACTTTGCTCTTTGCCTCTGTTTTAAGACATTCATTCACCAGTCATTCATCTCTGTGTAGATATTCACACCTGGAACACAAAGCTCTTTGTGTATATAACAGCACCAAAGTAACAAGCAAGTGCTCCCTCAGAAGCAGCAGAATGAAGCAGAGAGCCCTACAGGGATATGTACAAATGCCAGCAAGGATGGGGCCCCGTGGGCATAAAGGCAGAAGAGACATGCTTCCAGAACCATCACCTACATAGACTCCCTTAAGTAGAAACACCCTCTAATATATGCTAATTTTCCTCACATGATAGTAGGTAGGGAAAGCTTATGAACAGAAATCTAGAGGAAAATGTAATCAATATCAGGAAGGGTGACTAACTGTTGAACACTAACCCATGGGGAAAGGACCTTAAATTCTTCCAGTGTGATGCTGTGGCTTGGGAGGGGACAGAGATAGAAGGGAAATCAGCAGGAAACCTCTGGGGAAACTCATGATATCATCCTGAAACACAGGGGTAAACTGGGCTGGGACATGTAAAACAGGAAGGGCTAGGTACTGAGGAAGCATTTCTCTCTAGGCTGTGCTGGGAACTCAAACCATCAGTTGGGAGCAACTAATTAGACATTTGTAAGCCATAAGCATATCATTTCTAGAGGACTGAGTTACCAAGGAAGGAAGTTCCCATACCAAGGAAGCTCTTGTTACAGTGAGAAAGGCTATAGACCCAGCTTCAAGGTCTATAGGATTATAGCTTGGATACATTATGAAAAGATTCGATGAAAGAAAATGCTTAAGGAGAGAACACATTGTAGAACACCTCGAGCATGGCTCATCAAGTTTGGAGAAAGATGGAAAATGATTCCCAGGGAGAGGGTCCCTTGGGAAAGACTACACTTTATGAGAAGAACATAAAATTGGGTGAGGACCCACTTAGTCACTCTCCTTGACATAAAGGATCAGACAGACCTCCACACAAAGAATAGGCTAGGGTTAATATCATTATTTCCTGCTGATAGTCTCAGCCTAGTGTCTCTTAGAGCTCCCCAGCCATGGAGAAGCATCTGGCTAAATTCTAGTGGCGAAGTAGGTTGAGTGATTATAGGTGGACCAGAAAGAAGGTGAACTTGGTCCAAAGAAAAGGGGAAAGGTGATGCAGCACCTGGAATTAACTCATATCCCTACCCAACCATACACATATTCTTGCACAAATGATGGCTAAAACACCAAAACAAGTAATCATCAGCAGGGGCTCAGCAATGCCCCACATCTACAGTCCCTGCCTGATATCAAATCTTGAGCCATGTCTTCTCAACTGGACTCAAAGTATGATCTACGCTCTGCTTACTTCTAGATAGCCATACCAAGTGCTCAAACAACAGCATCATCTGGAGTTTGCTAAGTATCAGCGGTAGGCTAGGCCGTATACTCTGCTGACCCTTACTTCCACTACCCAGGACTCAGATCTGTCTCTGGGAAGAAGTGTAACTAGGATCCTAGCCTGTACCTAGCCACAAAATCTACAGAAATCTGACTGGACCACAGAGAACAATCTGGCAATACTCCTAACCTAGTTCTCAACAGTGAGAGATTTCAGAGACACATGGGGAGCCAGCCATCAGAAGAGAAGGTGAAGAGTGAATTTTGATAATGCTTTTTAAGGGATTCTTCTGTAGTTACTGCTGCCAATAAGAATCATTGTTTTAACAAGTTACATTTGCCTCATTTGACCTCAAAATATCTACTTTTCCTCCAGCTACCCCCACCCATAACATACACACACATATCCCACAACACTTATAACATGCATGACAGCATAAAGAATGAATATGGTTGGGAAGAAAGTAAGAAGAAAGATACAAAAAGCATAGGAAATGCAGACTAGATCAACTGCTCTACAAGGTGACTGCCATCTCTTAGAATTGTGTTTCTCAAAATTTCGCCCATGGATCACCTGCATCATGGTCACCTGGGTGCTTGTTTAAAATGCACATACGAAAACCACACCTCAGAACAACTGAACTAGAAACTCCCAAAGTGATTCTGTGTTCTCTGGAGTTTGAGAACTACTGGCCTAGAGAACCAGCCCCATATACATCTATGACCTGCCCCAACTCTCCTGCACCCAGGGCTCAACCCTGCTACACCAGGGGATACCACACGGTGGCCTATTATCACCTCAGATTTATCTTCTTCATCACTCTAACATCACCTCCACCTCCAACATATTGAAAATCTGTGTCTTCTGCTTGTGTTGGCTGTTCTTGAACAGGAGAAAAGATACAAACATTGTCCACTCACCCTCTTGGCCGAACGCCTCATTGCTTTCACCTCTGCTGTGGAAACCACCTTGCTTCTTCTGAAGCTGCCATCCACTTCCAGAGATGCTGAAATCAGAAATCTCCCAGCCCTGAGCAGCTCAGCCCATCATGGACAATGGCTTTCCTTCCCCCTGGGCAGGTCCTATCTCCCATCAGAGCCATCCTGCGTCCCTCAAACATCACCTAGAGCCAAATCTGCTCAAAGATCTTCCTAGTCACTGACCCACAGCCTCCGGCTACCCAGGAAACAGGGACAGACCAACCTGCTAGAAGTTCTTCTAGATGAGGGCCCAAGGTGCAGTTTTGTGGGACTGCCAATGGCACTACCTCTGGAAATGTAGGAATGGTCTTTATCAACACAGATACTGGGGATTCTCCTTCTAGGGCCTTCCCCTCCCCCAGGGCTCATTGCTGATCCTCAGTCTCCTTTCCAGGGCTGGATTTCAAAGATATGGAATTTATCCAACTCTAGTTGCGGTGCCATTTGAGGAATTCCTAAACACAAAATCTCTTTGCGCAGTCTTTCTGGAAGGACAGATCCCACGTGCCTGTTTCTCTAACATCTGCCTACCTCTCTAGGCTTAGAGCACCTCCCCATCTTTCTAGGACTATTATTGAACATGGACCTTTTAACAAGGGAGAAGGAACCAGTTCATCTCAATCACAGCCCAGCCAATTATAAGGCACAAGGCAGAATGAAATACCTACAGGTATAAACCACCCCACCACCCAGCAGCAAGGTCTGGCACAAGGCAGAATGAAATACCTACAGGTATAAACCACCTCACCACCCAATAGCAAGGTCTGAGGGGCTCTCCTTCCTACTTCTTCACTTCTCTATCTTTTCTGGTATCATTTCTGTGGCAACATAGCTAGCTGGCGTCTCTCTAGGCTCTCATTTTGTCCTCCTAGGTTTTCTTCTCCTTGATGCACAGAGAGGGGTATAGTCCACTGGCCTGGAGCCCTGGGTGTGGCTACAGCCTGTGCCCCTGTCCCTCTGTGCTCCAATTTCCCTTTGCAAAGCTGCTCAAACACTGTGAGTATGGTGATCATCTACATTCCTTTCTGGGTGGCAGTGATGGCAGGAGGGAGGTGGGTGTCTAGTTGGGAAGAGGGTGGAGTTTCGGTTGTCTGGAAAGCCTGACCCAACCCAGCTGTCAAGGGTGTCCTTTCATGCCACTTCCCAGCACAGAGCTCCACCCAATGCTTGGCATTCCTAAGCGCACCACCCCTTCTCTCTCACTGCCATGAAGTGGCAGTCGTGAGCGTGTTTGGTGACCTTGGGTTTGACGCAGTGCCAGGATCCAAGACACTGTTCACATGCCAGTGCAGCACTGCCAAGCAAGGCAGCATCCAGTTGGTTGGGTGCCAAGCAGTAGGACCCAGGTGGTGATAGAGATGAAAAAGGGACGGGGTGAAGGGAGGGTGCCTTGAGAAAGGCACCAGGGAGAAAATCAGACACCTCAGTTGTTAGAGTGGGGAGTCCAAATGGGACCCACAGAAAGATGCCCTTCCCATTCGAGATCCCAGCCCAGCAAGCAAGCCCTTCCCTCCCCCACCGTGCCCACGAGAGTGATACATACAGACCAGGCATGAGGAATTGGCCCTCTTCAGCAGGGAACTGGCTAAGGGCCAAGCAGGACTGCCAGACGCTCTCTCCATCCTTCTTCCTTGGGGTCTTGGCAATGGCGTGCATCCTCCTTTGTGTCCTCCTGCCTCTCTCCATCTGTCGGCTCCAGTCCCCAAGTCTAAGAAGGACCAGGAAGGAGGTCCTAGCAGAAAAAGTCTGTTCTCCCAAATAACACACAAACATACACACACACCCCAACATCTTACTCCTCCCTTTCCCTCTTGGCATAACTACCCTCTCTACCAGATTGGCAAGAGGCACTGCCACCCTCACCCATTCCACACAATGCCAGAGCCCATGCCAGGCTCCCTGGGCAGTGCCAGTGTCAGTGCCCACCCACCTCACGCCCCAGTCCCCTTGCTGTCTCCTTCAGTGCTCTGACAAAGGGCCAGATTATCAGCCCAAACGAGTTCTTCCCAGGTAGTGGTGGCACAATTCCTCCTCCCTGGCTCTTAGACTCTTTCTTGGCACTTCCCTGGCTACTTTCCCCACCGCTTTACTTTACCAGGCTGGAAGAGAACTAACTACCTCATAGTCCAACCATTTCTCAAAGCTGAGCTTCTAGAGGAAGAGCAACATCAGCAATATGTCCCTGCCCCTCCTCCCTGCGTCCTGAGATCCCTTAGTCCCCACTGCCCCAGCTATGGGCATCAGCCTGACAGATGTAATGCCAACGGCTCCTATGTACTGAGCCTTTCCCCAGAGCACTGGGACTCCTGCCGTTGCCCCCCACCCCCCATTCGCCTCCTCGCATCTCCGCGGGCACAAGGGTGGCAGCTGCAGTGCCAATGCCTATAAGCAGACAGCATTAAGCAACTCATACCCCCTCTTTGCCCCAAACCTTTCCCCTCCGTCCACCATGCCATCTTTCTGTCCTTCTGGTTGGACACTGGATTGGTGACTGCAATGCCAACCCCCACCCCGTGCCCGGGAGGCTCACATACAGCACACGCATATGCGTACATATACACGCACACACACGTACACACACACAGCCCCAGGAGTGCCAGGCAGCGATGGCAGACACACAGCAATGCATATGACTGGTACCCGAGGAGGCAGCCAGATTCAGCACCTGATCCAGCACCCGTTTGGAATAGGGTGGGTAGGCGGGCAGGCGGGCGGAGGGGTGATGGAGGCAGACGATGGCCCTAGGTTGGCAGCCGATGGAGCTGGGAGAATGGAGGGAACAGATGCTCTTTGCCCAGGCTCCCTCCCACTCTCTCCCCGAGATCAGTGCCAAGCTGGGGGGATGGGGAGAGGGGAGAATGGGGGAAGGGTGGCATTTGGAGAGCTGGCAGGCGGGGGAAGCTGGGTCCGCCCAGGCTGGGCAGCACCAGCACTGGCTGCCGCCTCGCCACTCTGCCATCTGTCTCGCTTCTCTACCCACCCCCCTCTCTTTCTCTCCTTCATCCACAGCAAAACAACAAGAGGAAAACAGGGTCCTCATCTTGCCCACCCCCAACCTCTGCCAGACCTCCCTCTCCTCCTCCCCACAACTCACCACACCACACCACCACCAAGCCATCTGTGCTCTC